GAAAACCAAAAGGTAAGAACACACTCAGCATTTCTCAAGCTAAAAGAACTGAAGAAAAAATGTAAGCCTATAGTCACAATATGGAAGGAATCTATAGGCAAAATATTGAATGACACAGAATTCTCCAAAGAAGATGGAAGGAATACACAGAATCAATGTATTAAAAAGAACTGGTTGATGTTCAACAATTTCAGGAGGTAGCATCTGATCAAGAACTGAGGGTATTGAAGGAAGATGTTCAAGATGCAGGCATTAGTGAAAAACAAGACTCCAGGAATCAATGGAATAACAATTGAAATGCTTCAACAAATGGATGCAGCACTGGAGGCGCTCCCTCTTCTATGCCAAGAAATTTGGAAGACAACTACCTGGCCAACCAATTGGAAAAGATCCATATTCACAGCCAATAGAATGGGGAAATAATTCAACAATATCATTAATATCACACACAAGTAAAATTTTCCTAAAGATAATTCAAAGTGGCAGTACAACGACAGAGAATTGCCAGATACGCAAGCAGGATTCAAAAAAGAATATGGAACAAGGGATATCATTGCTGATGTTAGATAGATCGTGGCTAAAAGCAAAGAATACTAGAAAGATAATTACCTGTGTTTTATTGACTATACAAAGGCTGTGTGTATTGTAACAAACTAGGGATAACACCGTGAAGAATGGGAAGTCCAGAACTCTTCAGTGTGCTCACGAGAAACCTGTACATAGACAAAGAAGTAGTCATTCAAACAGAACAAGGGGATACTGCATGGTTTAAAATCAGGAAGGCTGTGCACCAGGGTTGCATTCTCCCACCATACTTACTCAATCGGTATGCTGAGCAAATAATATGAGAAGCTGGACTATATAAAGACAAGGCAGGATCAGGATTGGAAGAAGACTAATTAACAACTTGCTATATGCAGATGACACAAGCTTGTTTGGTGAAAGTAAAGAAGACTTAAAGCACTTACTGACTACAGTCTTCAGTATGGATTACACCTCAACATAAAGAAAACTAAAATCCTCATAACTGAACCAATAAACAACATCTTGATAAATGAAGAAAAGATTGAAATTGTCAAGCATCTCATTTTATTGTCTACACAATCAACATCCATGGAAGCAACAGTCAAGAAATCAAATGACATATCACATTGGGCAAATCTGCAAAAGATTGATTTAAAGTGTTAAAAAGGAAAGATGTCCCTTTAAGGACTAAAGTGCACCTCACCCAAGCTATGGTATTTTCAATCCCCTCATATGCATGTGAAGGCTGGGCAATGAACAAGGAAGAGTGAAGAAGAATTGATGCCTTTGAATGATGTTGTTGGCAAAGAATATTGAATATCCCATGGACTGCCAGAAGAACGAACAAATCTGTTTTTGAAGAAGTATAAACAGAATTCTCTGCAGAAGCGAGGATGGTAAGACTTTGTCTCAATTTTGGACATGTTATCAGGAGGGATCAGTTCCTAGAGAAGGTCATCATGCTTGGTAATGGTCAGCAAAAAAGAGGAAGACCTTCAATAAGACAGACACAGTGGCTACAACAATGGGCTCAAACATAGCAACAACTGTGAGGGTAGTACGCAACTGAGCAGTGTTTGGTTCTGTTTTACAGAGCGTTTCTATGAGTCAGAATCGACTTGACAGTACCTAACAGCTCTGGTGGTGTAGTGCCTAAGGCATCTGACTGCTAACCAGGCTAGTGGTTCAAACCCACCAGCCACTCCTTGGAAGGAAGGTTGGGCAATCTACTTCCGTAGTGATACCATCTCAGAAACCCAAGAAGGGGTCACTGAGTCGGATCTGACTTGACGGCAGTTAGTTTGGTGTAGTAACAACAATAAGCCATCATGGAATGGGACAGGGGAGATGGAGGACTCAGAGGTACTTTTAATAACAGGAAATCAATACCCAACAGTGACCAGCCAGGAAAGGGCAATATTCTGGGTTTTGTAGGGACAGGGAGGGGGACTAGAAGAAAAGGCTCTGAGATTTAACAGTGGCTGCTTCTAGGGGAGACCCAGGGCTGGAAAGAGGAGTAGGCTATGTGTTTTAGGTTGTAAGTCTTCTAGATACTTTTGCATCAATTGTTGTTGTTGTGTTGTTATGTGCCTTCAAGTCGGACCCGACTCATAAAGACCCCTCCTTGGGGTTCCGAGGCAGTATCACTACAGAAGTAGATTGCCCAACCTTCCTTCTGAGGAGTGGCTGGTGGGTTTGAACCGCCAGCCTTCTGGTTAGCAGTCAAATGCCTTAGGCACTAAAGGGAGCTACCAGAGCTCCCTTTGCATCAATTACTCTGATAAAATCTGTATCCTCCAATGACAAGCACCTTCCCTGCACTCATAAACCTCATACCAGCCCACAAGGAGTGGGAGGTGCCTAGAGCTGGCAGGACAGGACACAGGGCTAGCTGGGAAGGACTTTGAAATGGCATGCCTTGCCTTGTCCCATCCTTTATCACAGAGGAGAAAACCAAGGCCCGAGAGGAGTGCCAGATCACAGAGCAAGGTGGGACCTGGGATTTGGAAAGCCAGGTGCTCTTCCTCAGAGAAGCTTGTGTTTTCTCACACTCCAGGGAAGGCAGACCTGGATAGACATCAGGGATATGCACACTGGAAGCCCATTCTCCCTCACTGCCCAGGACTAACACAGGGGAGCAGGCATGTGACCACATGAGATGGGGATGGGGGGCACACACTGACAAGGGGGAGCACTTCCCTGGAGCACTTCCCAACATGGGAAAGCACATATGTGATAATATGGTAGAGCGTACCTGACATGGGACAGGTGTGGTGCCTGTGCTCCTCTTCCACCCAGGACCTCCCACACACACACACCCCAGGATAACCTTTGCATGGAGGTAACGGCCCTGAAGGCAAATACAGCACTAAGTCTGCAGTTGGGATGACTGAAGTGGTGCTGGGGGAGGGCCACCCAGCCCAGGAGCATATCAAGGATGGTACTTACACCTTCCCAAACAGAGAAGTTCTGGGTATCTCACGAATACATGCCTCTCTCCTATGTCTAGTAATAACTGGAACCTACATCATCCTCACATCACATTAGCCCTGGGCCCTAACCTGGGTGAGGGTAGGGGCTGTTGTTGAGTCCTCCTCTTTTGAAATTCCAAGCAGATAATCAGTGGTCCAGCATCCATGCTGTCACCACGTCTACATGGTCACTGCATCTACACAAGTCAGATAGCACATGGGGAACCAAGCTGCCAGGAGGAGCCTTGGGAAGTGAGGACATTTACAGGAAAGGCTGGAGCCAGAGCCAAATCATCGTAGCCACTTCCAGAGGCACTGCCCACCCCATGTGATGCACAGGGTCAAGCATCCCCCTCCCCAGCCAGCCCACTACACTCCAAGTGTCCTTGCCAGGGTTGGGGACCTTTCCCATCTCCCAATTCTTCCACTAGTAGCCCAAACTCCCTATCTGTCACCCTGGACACCCTTTCCCTGGTCCAAGAGCTTCCTGCCAGGCCCTTCCTTGGCCCCTAGTCCTCTGTTCAGCACGTGCCAAGAGAAGACAGGGATGTGCCACCCATGGAGCCTTTCTTTGCACATGCTTTCCCACATTCTCTGAGCTGCTGTCTCTGTCTGACAAGTGAGGAACCTGGGGTGGAGGCCTCCTGGGCTTGCTCCAGCCACAGGGCCTGTAGGTGGGAGCTGTGGCCTCAATGAGAATGCACCTCCCTGACAAGGTGGTCTAGCCCTCCTATGATGGCTTCTAACTTCGTGTCCTCCAGTGACACTGGCCTTCCCCATGGGCTAATCTGATGATGCTTCACAGCTACCACCTCTAATCCCTCCCCCTCACCCAGTCCTGGCCCAGCCCACTGCGCCATTCTCAGGGAACTGCCACTGCCCAGTGCTACAACTGACATGCAGGTAGACACGGGTACCCAGAAACAGCCTGGGCCCAGGGCTCATCCAGGAAGGGAGATGGGCCTGCTGCAGGTGAAGTGCAGACAGCAGCGTGCTACCAGCCTTCCGGGTCTGCTTGCTCACCTCACTCATAAATATCTACCTTCCTCCTACCTCCTGCTGCACTTTGGAGTACAGGGTAGGAGTCAAGTGCCAGAAGGCTGAGGGGAAGGTGGTCTGGTTTTGCTTTTCTGAAATCTGTAAAAAGAAAGTTAGCAGACCCTGACCAACTGCCCCAGGTGCTGGTCACCTCTTCTCAGCCCCCTACCTCCTGGCTGTTAAGAAAGGCCTCCTCCCCCCACCTCAAGTTTAGGGTATGCATGCTCCTTTGACCCAGTACAACAGGTGGCACCCTGGCCATTCCAGGTCACAGGCACCAGAGACCACCAGACCATCAGGCAGTCAGGTCACCAGAGCAGGGATCAGATCCCCCCCACCTCCATCAAGCTCCACCAGGCCCAGCTGCAGGAACAACGGCAGGTGACCCCGTTGAAGTCTCCCCTGATCAAGACTTTGCCAAAGAGAAACTCAAGGCAGGCAGAACTCACCTCGCCCCTTCCTTTTTCCCTCCACAGACACCACCCAGGAGACAGAGAGTGGGGAGTGTGGGGTGCAGGGTGGGAGGTGGCGCGGGAGGCCATGGTGTCAGAGAGAAGGGGGGCCGCGGGCGCCCCAGAACCAGGAAGGACCGGGTTCTCGGTGGCAGGACGTAAACCTGAGTCGGCTCCGCGCGGCCTCTAGGAAATGGCTCCGCACCTCGCGCCCGACACATGTCACCCTAGGAAGGAGCGCGGGGTAAGCCGTGGCGGCCTGAGGGTCGGGAGCGCTGAGTCCCTGGCCAGGCGAGGCGCGGAGGCTCGTGTCTCGCCGCACGTACGCGGCCACCCAGTGCGTGGGGCGGAGTCCAGGTCCCTGGGAGGGGAGGAATGGCACGCGGGTACAGAGCATGGGCTGGCCCCGCGCCTCCAGAACCACGGCCTACGAATAGCAGGCGCGCCCTGAGGGTCACAGAAACAGGTAGACGGGCTGCCCCGCCCCTTCCCGGCTACACAGCCCGGCGCCCACCTTGCGCGTCGCCGCCGCTAGTCAGCACGCCGATGGCCTTGCCGGCCCCCGACATCCGCAGCTTCTCCAGGTCCACCGTGGCCATGGTGGCGGCGGAGTCCGAGGGTCCGCACTCGCTCTTCCGCTGCCTGTCTGCTTGCGGCGGCAGTCTGTCTCGGTCTCCGCCCAGCGCTGCCAGCGCCACTGCGCCCGCCCCGCCTCCGCCGTGGCCACCGGGCCCGCCCCTGCTCTCCGACTCCACCCCGCACCGCCCTGTGCCCCAAGTACAAACTTGGACGGATACGATCTCTGAGTTCCTGGAGGCAGAAACAGAACACATGAAGTCATTCTGCTGCCTAGTGGCAGGGCTGGAGCCGGCAGCCTGGCTTCAGCGAAGACCAGGAGCGCGAAGGTTCTGCACCTTCCCCCTACCAGTGACCTCAGGGAGTTGAAGGAGGGAGTAGGGCTCAGGCTTTGTGGCAGAGGGTCTCCTCCTGGGGCCAGGAGGACTGGACCAAGCACATCCCCTCTTCAGAAATGCCCACATGGCTGTTCCCAGCCCAAGGGTCCCCAATGGTCCCTCAGCACCCACTTCAATGCCTAAACCACACCCACACACACCCCCAGTGGCCAGCATCCCACTAGTTGGGAACTTGGGTGAACTTGGACTGATCAAGGATATCTTTATCGTTTAAGTTTCTAGACTCAATTTAAGGAACACATTGCATTTATGGAAGGTCTATTTCATAACTGTCCAGGTGCTATTAAATAAAAGCTTAAAAAAAAAAAAAAAACTTTTCAAGCATTTTAAAAACTACTCAGTCGTACCATAACTAGACCAAAGCACAGAAAAGCAATGAGGTCTGACCCTACAGGGGAGAGTCATTCCTTTGCCAAACGCTACTTACCAGGTTTCTCTGCAGTTACTAAAAGTGACTCTTGCTGAACTTGTAATTATAGACCTACGTCTTTGTTTTTCAAGAAATTCATTGCTGTGAGCCACAATTGGCCTCATTTTCATTCAGGGCACCTTGGCAAGGCTCCAGTCATCTGAAGCCTTAACTGGGGCTGGAAAATCCACTTCCAAGATGGCTATGGGCGGGAGCCTCAGTTTCTCACTCAGTTCCTCCCACATGTCCAATCCACAGGGTTGCTGAGCAGCCTCACAACATGGCAGCCAGCTTCCCTCACAGTGCATGATTCAAGGGAAAAAGTAGTAATGCTTTCTAAGACTTCATGTCATATTGTAACTTTTGCTTCATTTCTTAAAGAGAAGAGTATGGGAAAAAAAATTGTAGCCATATCTTACAACCGCCACAGGTGCCTTCTGGGGAAGGTGTGGGAGCAACTGTGTGAATCCTGGGAAGTGCACCACAGTCAAGGCACCTGGCAGAGATGTGGTATGGGCAGGTCCTGGATGTCAGGTAAAGATATGGCCAGAGGGCAGGCTGTTCTATATTTTCTGCTTCTGAACACACAAAGGACTACTTCTGAGTTCTCAGGAGAAGACCAAAGCAAGTCTTTGGGTACAAATGCATGCCCTCACTGCACAGCAGGGAGTGATGGGAAAGAGAAAGCTTAGTAGTCAATGGTTAACTCAAGTCAGTACAGATAAGAATCTGCCCATTCACCACCCACCAGCCTCAGGTTAAGGAAACGGAACAGTGCAGGAGAGCATTAGCTGGGACAGCCCTTGTGTATTCCTCCAGGCACACAGCTACAGTGTGGATGGTGGTCCTCCTTTTCTGAGGCAGGGCTGTCATCCTGAGATTGGCATTCACCATCCATTTTCCTCACTGGAGCTCATGGTCACTAGTCTGAATCTTCTCCCTCTTTACCCTGTGCTTGGGTGGGGTATAACCTCCAGGAGCTTCCTAAGAAAAGGCTCATGGAAGAAATGTTTTTGAGATGCTGCACGTAAGAGAATGGCATGATTCTACCTTCATACCTGATTGAAAATTTGTACCTGTATAGAATTTTACAGGAGCTCTAGTAACATAGTGCCTAAGGCACTTGACTGCTAACCAGAAGGCTGGCAGTTCAAACCCACCAGCCACTCCTCGGAAGGAAGGTTGGGCAATCTACTTCTGTAGTATACCGCCTCGGAAACGCAAGGAGGGGTCGCTATGAGTCAGGTCCAACTTGAAGGCACATAACAACAAAATAGAATGTTACATTGGAAAACATTTTCCTACAGAATTTTGAAGGCTTATTCCTGCATAATTTTAAAGGCATTCCTACTGAGAAGTCAAAGGCATTCTGATTCCTTGTCTTTTATATATAACTTGATTTTTTCTCTATAGAAGCTTGAAGAATCTCCTTTTCCCCATGTATTACAAGACTCCACAATGAAGTGCCTTGGTGTGGGTCAACTTCCCTTGATCTTCTACATGTCTTATCTTTTCTAATTTCCTAACTCTGTTTTGCTCTACTTTCAGAGAGCTTTCCTTTATGTGATATTTCACACTTTTATAAAGTTTTTCATTTCTGCTGTCATGGTTTTGATTTCCAAGAGCTTTCATTATGGTTGCTGTTGTTCTCTGAATGTTCTCTTTCACAGTGTCCTATTCTTGTTTCATGGATACAAGCTCTTAACTCTTTAAGAATATCGATAGTTTTACTTTATTTTTAAAATGTTCTTCCCTCAGAGTCTTTTTTATTTTTAACCCATACTGCTTTATTTATGTTAGTTTGTCTTGATATTTGCCATGTTAGAGTCTTTAAGAAGCATCCATGGTGGACATTTCACACATGTCACAACTCACTGCTAGGGTCATTAAGTGTATTCCAAGTGACTCCACTGGGAGATAATTCTGGATACTTGTGCCTTGTTTTCGCTAAACTATGCCCCCATACCTTCTCCCTCTGCTGATTTTGCTTTGTATCCTTTTGCTGTAGTACTTTATAGCTGTGAGTACAACTATATGCCGAGTCCTGGGAAGGCTAGTGAATCACCAAATCTGGAGGTGGTCTTGAAGATCCCTGACACAAAATGAAATTAGATAAATGTGTTCAATCCATAAAGGCAAGTCTTTCAAGAAGTTTGGCCATGAAGGTAAGGACATGAGTAGGTCAGAAGTGCCAGGAGTATGTGTGTGTGTTGGGGGGGGGGATGTAAGATAAATTCTCCTAATATAGGAAAAGATTATGCATATTTAAATATTTACAGAAAAGAGGGTGGGTAACATATAGATCAGGAGTCCCTGGGTGGTACAAACAGTTAATACATTTGGCTGCTAAGCGAAAAGTTGGAGGTTCAAATCCACCTGGAGGCATATCAGAAGAAGGGCCTGGTAATCTGTTTCTGAAAAATGAACCATTGAAAACCCTATGGAGCACAGTTCTACTCTGACATACATGGGGCCTCCATAATTTGGAGTCAACTCAAGCTGATACTGGTGTGACATATAGTTTCTCAATCTCGGTACTGCTGACATTTTAGACCGAATCATTCTGTGTGCTGGGGCTATCTTGTGCTGTGTAGGATAGTTAGTGGCATTCTTGGCCTCTCCCCAGTAGATGCCAGTAGTGACAACCAAAAATGTCTCCAGCCATTGCCAAATGTCCCCAGGGTGGGTGGTGAAAATCACTCTGAGTTGAAAGACACTTTTACCCATATTACAAGATACTTAGGAGACTTACCAAACAAATGCAATGGAGGTCCTTGTTTGAATCTGCATCTGAACAAATCGACCATAAAAGAGCATTTATGAGCAAATGGGAGGGTTGAGCATTGACTAGGAACTGGAATCATTCCTTATGTTGGAGCCAATTTTTATTTGTGTGTGCAGTGCAGTGAATTACTTAATATAACCTATCCCTTCCCCTAGAACCACTGCTTGTTCTCAACTTCATCTTACAGACTCTAGACCGGGAAAGGAAAGCTGAAATGAGCACCAGGATCTCACTGCCTCCCGGGAAGCATTCCTGGCTCTTCGACCACTTAGCTTAGCTCATCCATATACTTCCTCAGAAAGTTGTAGTAAACTTCTTTGGGGACAATTTCCACCCAATTCCTCTGAACTGCAGGAAACTGAACTGCTGTGTGGTGTGGGTACAGGGTTCCTACCCAACAGCCCAGCAGGGAAGCCCTGCACCTAGGACTCAGAAAAAGGTCTGGAGAGAAACTAGGACTGCTGCTGCCCAGGGTTTGGGTGGGACAGCCTCAGAGGGCCCACCCCCACCCCAAGGACTCTTCCAAAGGAGAGTGAAGGGACTGGGGGAAGGAGAAGGGCCCTGCAAGCTGTGGTCATGTGTCCTCTGGTGGTCAACAAAGCTGGCCTTGAGTTGAGGGGCTTCCTAGATCTGGATGCACTGAGGGGCTTAACCCAGAGAGCAGAAAGGGAGACCATGAGACCCTCAAGGAGAGGCTGGAGAGACAGGCCTTCTCACTTCCATTAGGCAGGGAAAATGATGATTAATTTCAAATGCCCATGGCCAGCAGGAAAACCTTGAGTAGGTAGAGAGACCAGCTCCAGGAAGGACCCAGGAAAAGACCTCTGGGGACTCCAGGCAGAAAGGCCACCCCAGCAGTGGGACCCAAAGGACCCTCATCCAGCCTCTTGTGGTCTCCCACATGTCATCTTTCCCACTGTGGAAGAACACCATGCTCATCACTCCCACTACCACCTCCATATCACCACCACCATCCATACCTCCACTGCTATTACCACCACCACCATGCATACCACCGCAAGCCAAGATGGATCGTTTTACTATTAATGGGTGTTTTCAGCGTTCTATTGTTCCTTTTGTCCCTTTTCCTTTTCTTAAAATTTTATTGTGGTGAAAACATACATAACAAAGCATACACCATCTCAATTTCTATACATACAATTCAGTGTTTTCCTTTATTTAATCACACAGCAAGCTTATTAATCATAGAAAATACTTTTAAAGAAAAAGAATCACTGTAAATCTTACCAGCATAAGGACCCCCTTGAACATTTGGGCATGTGTAGTTCTAGCCTTTTTCTTAGGTAAATTGTTAAAAGATAATTAAGAGAGGGGGGAAATAAAAATCATGACACACATACAGATATGAAATGAACACGTGTTAAGAAATTTGTGTCACTTTTTATTCAGGATGTAGCAAGATATTCTGACCAGTACAAAGGATAATTCAGAGAAGAGACATATTTATAGATCAGGAATATTGGAAGGATGTGTAAATGGATCCAAAACTGTCTTCTTCCACAGTGGAGGAGAGAAAAACATTGACCCTCTGTTGAAGACGCACACATGTCTATACACAAGAATTATTTTGTATTGTTTGTTGTTGTTGTTATGTGCCTTCGAGTCAGACCCAACTCATAGTGACCCCTCCTTGGGTTTCCGAGGCTGTATCACTCACTACGGAAGTAGATTGCCCAACCTTTCTTCCAAGGAGTGGCTGGTGAGTTTGAACCGCCAGCCTTCTGGTTAGCAGTCAAGTGCCTTAGGCACTATGCTACCAGAACAAGCTACAACTCACAGAGTTGGTCCAACAGTGTAAAGGCAGCGAGGCACCAAGCCCCAAAGATTGGCCCAGTGAATGTGGCATTCAGTTCACAGATTCCCCTACAGAGGGATTCAGAGGATGCTGAGAAAGCAGTCCCAGCCATGAGCAGAGTGCCTGCACAGGATGCATGGAAGCCAGCTGGGAGGACAGGATGCACCAGAAAGGCACAGGCTGGTTGCAGGAGTAGCTTTGCAGAGGGGACAGCTTTGGACACATATGAGTATGGTTTGAATTTTTACAAGAATATTGGTGGACTACAACCAGAATACTTCTTATAAGCAAAGACGGTGAGACTTAAGCTCACTTACTTTGGACATGTCACCATGAGGGCAACAATCACTAGAAAAGGTCAGTGAAAACCAGGGAAACCATCCATGAGATGTAATGACACGGTAGCCACAACAATATACTCAAACATACCAGCGGTCACGAAGGTGGTGCAGGACCAGACAATATATTGCTCTGTTGCACATGGGCAGCGAGGGGATCTGCCCATGCTGACTCCTCCATATCCCATGTATCCTGTTGGTCACCCCAGCTCAAAGCAGTTGGGACAGCACCACCCTCATGGGGTCTGAGGAATTTCAGAAAAAGGGCATCAAGTGCTGATGTCTATAAGGTCTGGTTTAAGACGGATTTTTCAGAGTCAGGACTTGATGGGGACTGAACAAGGTTCATGATAGCTGAGCAAGGCTTTTGAAGGGAACTTGAGGAGTGAGTATACAACCATTGGATAAGTAAGTGAGTGGCTTGCACAGTTGAGTTTCTCTGGAAAGTAAGCCAGTTGAGTCATTAGGAAAATTGAATTTTCAGGGAGTCCTTCAAATAGACAATAAGGTTTTGGTTTGCAACTTTATCTTCCTGGGCCAAAGCTTGTTGGAATAGTTATTGCTATTTTTGCTAGTTGTTAGTTGTAGTTGAATATTCAGGTTCATGGTCTTCTGTAAAACAGAATGAAACAATGCCCAGTCCTGCACCTTCTTCAAGGTTATAAGTAAATTAGCTGGAACGGTAAAGCTAGGTGAATGTAAGCAGTCTTAGTCTTGATCCTCTTAAGCTGTGTGGCTGCAGGCAGTTTGTTCTCATCAGTGACATGGTCTGAGGCAACTCGTTCTACTTCTCTGAGCTGCATCTTTATCCCCTGTAAACTGGTCCATGGCCAGCATTTATGTAGGTATAACATGCTTTGCAGCCAGATGCCACTTGTGTGGAACAGCTGGCCCATTTGTGCATTTATCTGCACACTGGTCAACAAGAGCTAACTGGTATCTGCTACGTGGACAGACACTGTTTGGGGGCTAGGTGGGTACAGCAATCTCCGGCCCCTATGCAATGTTGGATGAGAACTAGCAAACTGGGAACATCTGACACAATGTCAGGTTGCAATGGCCAACATAAGGCAGGTGAGGGCTGCAGGGAGGCAGAGCCTGTTTTCGAGGTGGGCAATAATTTTATGTATTCATTTTTAAACACTAAGCAGACATAATCACAAAATGAACACATGACTGTGGAGATACATAAGTAAAAGTCTATTCACATCCCCAGCTCACAAGTCCACAGAAGGATTTTAATTTCAGCACACGAGTGCTATGGGCATCACAAACACCAGACAAGCTGAGTATTGATAATCTGAATTTCTCAGTTGTTCTAACTTAACCTGGTACAACTTCCAGGGGTGAGAAAGGGTGTCCCCTGGGGCCCTCTGGGAACAGAACTGCTGTGGCCTCAGCACAGTGGATGTTCACTGACCCTCGTCCACTGGCTGCAGTGACAGAGGGAGGTAGGTTTGTGTCTCTGGTGCCCGTGGTCTCCCCTTACTGCCCCACACTGCCTGTTGGGCCTGGGCCACTGGAGTCAGGATTGGAAGGTGGGTGCCTCAGCCAGCGGGCGGGACATGCTTTGGATGGCCCACTGCAGGATGCCGTCGAAGGAATGCTGCAGGACAAGGAGGAAACAAGGGGCTCAGCACTGTGAGTGAACCTCCAGAAGATAGGCGTGCCTACCCATGGCCAGCGACACTGGCCTCAGGGCCACATGGGAGACTGGACATCATGACATGAAAGCAATGTCTGACCTAAACCTCTAATTCAAAGGTGGGAAAACTGAGGCCTCATGCTCCATAGGATGGTCCAGGCAGGAGAAGTACCCTGAGTCCAGGGTACTGCATGGCATTTCAAGAGCCCAAGACACAAACACCACCTGAGGGCATCCTCCCTGGAATGGGGCTGCTCAGCTCACTTTTGCATTTCCCAAAGAAGCCTGATGCTCCAACAGGATTGCAAAAGTATGGGAAGACCCCATATTACAGCAGAGTGAGGGTGGTTGCACCAGAGGGACCTGTGAATCTACACCTCTATTTCTCCAGACTATGTCAGGACCTGCCCCCTCCCCAGCACTACAACATCTTCATCTAGTCTCTCTGGTCACCCCTCAGCCTCAGGACTCCTGGGGTCCTTGTCTAAAGACACCTGCATGGTCTATGATCTGCCTTCACCTCTCAAGGCAGAGGGGCAGACTCCACTCCTCTGGTGTCATCTGGGCCCCCTGAGGAGCAGTGGTAGACTCTAGAAGAGTTTACATATTAGACACCTGGAGCCTGGGAATGGCTGAAGGAGTTGTACCTCTAGCAGAAGAAGACAGGCTCCAAACAGCCACATTTTCTTCCCAAGGTGAAGTCTGAATCTGGAGGGTAAGTGGAAAGACCCTGGGAAGGGCAGAGGTTCCTGGACCACTGTCTCCCAGGTGAATGTCCTTTCCTTCAAGTCAGGCTTGAGCCAGCCCAACTCACACCTGGTGCTGGGGCTGAGATTCTGCAAGTTGTCCACCTCCCAGGAACCCAAAAGGGTCTAGACAGAGGGGCAGAAGCTGCACTCAGCTGACTCTGGGCCCTGTGTGCGCTGGTGGGGCATGTGCCTGATGAGTGTGATGGCCTCACAAAAGCAGGGACAGCCTCACTGCCATGTCCCTGGAACAACAGGGCCCATTCCTGGGCCTTGGTGCTGGCTGCATGGGGGCAGGGCAGAGGATGAGCAAGTGAACACAAGTATTACCTCGTTCAGGAGGGACTCCAGGTCATCCCTGTGCAGACCAGGCTCATGACCAGCAGAGTTATCCCCCGCCTGGAACCCAGGAAAGGGAAGAGGTCATTCCAGCTCCCACCACCAGGCTGAGGACATGTACATGGAAGCAGGCCTTGGGGTGGGAAAGGAAGTGTTCCATCCTCTGTGCTCCCAATCTGAATGCCTACATATGCTAAACTTAAAGGCTGCTGTGCACCTGTGGAGGAACCTTCAAGAAAA